TGAAGTAGAGAGATTTAAAAAAAGTCCACAAGATCCAAAATATGATCTTGAGTATACCTCACCTGACATTTGAGAACATCTCAAAAACTGATTTGATACATTGGATACTGATGACAGAAGATCTGATGAACTTTAGGAAGGCATTAAAAACAGAATTCATGAAGAAAGTAAAAGCTCATTCGAAAAACAAGAAAAATAAAAAAGTTCAAAATAGACTTCCACCAGGCAGGTGACAGCCACGGGTCTCAGAGCGGCCAGGACAGGGACACACCGGGCGAGCGGGAGGAGGCCGCGGACATTTTGCTGCTGAGCCGAGCCGAGCTGTGGTGCCAGGAACCAGTTGGTCTTGGATTGTCTAGCCACCACTAAGGGACCAAAATGACACACTCAAAGTACTTCATGACCACCAAGAAAGGGGAGATCTTTGCGCTGAAGGCAGAGCTTTCCAGCGACAAGAAGGAGAAGAAGGAGGCAGTGAAGAAAGTAATCGCCTCCATGATTGTGGGCAAAGATGTCAGTGCCTTCTTCCCGGACATGGTGAACTGCATGCAGACAGACAACCGGGAGCTGAAGAAACTGGTGTACGTGTACTTGATGAACTACGCTAAGAGCCAGCCCGACATGGCTATCATGGCTGTCAACACCTTTGTGAAGGACTGTGAGGACCCCAATCCCCTGATCCGAGCCCTGGCCGTGAGAACCATGGGCTGCATCAGTGTGGACACGATCACAGAATACCTGTGTGAGCCCACCGGAAGTGCCTGAAGGATGAGGACCCCTATGTACGCAAGACAGCAGCTGTGTGTGTGGCCAAGCTCCACGATATTAATGCCCAGCTGGTGGAGGACCAAGGCTTCCTGGAAACCCTGAATGACCTCCTCTCTGACTCCAACCCCATGGTGGTGGCAAATGCAGTGGCTGCCCTCTCGGAGATTGCCTAGTCTCACCCCAGCAGCAACCTGCTTGACCTGAACCCACAGTCCATCAACAAGCTGCTCACTGCCCTGAACGAGTGCACCGAGTGGGGCCATCTCTTCATCCTCGACTGCCTGGCCAACTACACGCCCAAGGACAACCATGAAGCCCAGAGCATCTGCGACCGGGTCACCCCCAGACTGTCCCATGCCAACTCCGCAGTGGTGCTGTCTGCTGTGAAGGTGCTGGTGAAGTCCATGGAGATGTTGTCCAAGGACCTAGACTACTACGGTACGTTGCTCAAGAAGCTGGTCACACTGCGCTCAGCAGAGCCTGAGCTACAGTACGTGGCCCTGCACAACATCAACCTCATCGTGCAGAAGAGGCCTGAGATCCTGAAGCACGACATGAAGGTTTTCTTCGTGAAGTACAATGGCCCCATCTACGTGAAGCTGGAGAAGCTGGACATTATGATCTGCCTGGCCTCGCAGGGCAACATTGCCCAGGTGTTGGCAGAACTGAAAGCGTATACGACAGAGGTGGATGTGGACTTTGTGTGGAAGGCTGTGCGAGCCATTGGCCGCTGTGCCATCAAAGTGGAGCAATCCGCAGAGCGCTGTGTGAGCACGCTGCTCGATCCCATCCAGACCAAGGTCAACTATGTGGTCCAGGAAGCCATTGTGGTCGTCAAAGACATCTTCCGCAAGTACCCCAACAAGTACGAGAGTGTGATCGCCACGCTGTGCGAGAACCTAGACTCCCTGGACTAGCCCGAGGCCCGGGCTGCCATGATCTGGATCGTGGGCGAGTACTCCGAGCGCATCAACAATGCCGACGAGCTGCTGGAAAGCTTCCTCGAGGCTCCCATGATGAGAGCACCCAGGTCCAGCTGCAGCTCCTCACTGCCATTGTCAAGCTTTTCCTGAAGAAGCCCACCGAGACCCAGGAGCTGGTTGGTGCAGCAGGTCCTCAGCCTGGCCACGCAGGACTCAGATAACCCGAACCTGCGGGACCGCTGCTACATTTACTGGCGCTTGCTCTCCACCGTCCCAGTAGCCTCCAAGGAGGTGGTGCTGGCGGAGAAGCCGCTCATCTCTGGGGAGACGGACCTCATGGACCCCACGCTCCTGGATGAGCTCATCTGCTACATCGGCACGCTGGCCTCTGTCTACCACAAGCCACTCAGCGCCTACGTGGAGGGCGGCCAGGGTGTCCTGCATAAGAGCTTCCCCCGCCCCCCGCACTGCCTGGAGTGAGAGCACAGAGAGCCCCGAGGCAGCCCCCACTGGAGCCCCTTCTGCTGAGCAGGCCGATGTCATCCCCCCTCAGGGCGACCTGCTGGGAGACCTCCTCAACTTGGACCTTGGCCCCCCAGTGAGCGGCCCACCCCTGGCCACCACCTCAGTGCAGATGGGACCTGTGGATCTTCTTGGCGGGGGCCTCGACAGTCTGATCACAGGCACCAATTCCACTGCCCAGCCAGCAGCAGTGTCAGCCACCCTGGGAGCTCCCAGGGGCAGCGGCCTGATAGACCTCTTTGACCTGAGCAGTGGTGTGGGTTCCCTATCAGGATCCTATGTGGCCCCCAAAGCAGTCTGGCTTCCTGCCATGAAGGCCAAGGGGCTGGAGATCTCGGGCACCTTCACGCGCCTGGTGGGCTCCATCACCATGGACCTCCAGCTGACCAACAAGGCCCTGCAGGCCATGGCCAACTTCGCCATCCAGTTCAACCGCAACAGCTTTGGCCTGGCCCCCGCCGCCCCCCTCCAGGTCCATGCACCACTCAGCCCCAACCAGAGCGTGGAGATCTACCTGCTTCTCAGCACGGTGGGCTCAGTTATGAAGATGGAACCGCTGAACAATCTCCAGGTGGCCGTGAAGAACAACATTGACGTTTTCTACTTCAGTACCCTATACTCCCTACACACCTTCTTTGTGGAGGATGGGAAGATGGGCCGCCAGATGTTCGTGGCCAAATGGAAGGACATTCCCAATGAGAATGTAGCCCAGTTCCAGATCAGAGATTGTCCCCTCAATTCAGAGGCTGTGAACACCAAGTTGCAGAGCAGCAACAGCTTCACCGTTGCCAGAAGGACCGTGGAGGGCCAGGACATGCTGTACCAGTCCCTGAAGCTGACCAATGGCATCTGGGTGCTGGCCGAGCTGCGGGTCCAGCCAGGCAACCCCAGCCTCATGCTGTCCCAGAAATGTGGAGCGCCAGAGGTGTCCCAGCACGTGCACCAGGCCTACGAGACCATCCTCAAGAACTAAGGCCCATCTGGTGTCTACCTCCGCAGCCCTGGGGGGAGTGTCTCACGCACTCCATGCCCATCACCCTCTCTTAAGTTGCTGCTGCTGTTCAGGGTCAGGTGAGGAGAGACCAGGAGCCAGAGCGGCAGCAGAGCGCCAGGGACCCCAGAGTCTCCTCTCCCTTCTTTGTGCCTGGATGGCAGGCACAAACCCTCCTCAGGCTCCAGTCCAGGGAGCCCCACTGTCCCTCTTGGTGGGGCTAGAGGCCTGACCCTGTGGCCCATCCTCAGCCGGGGGCATGGAGGGCCACCTTGCTATAGGAGAGCTGTTGTCAGGGTCACCTCCAGGGTGGAGATGCCCGAGGGGCCAGAGCTGTTCCCCTGCCTCCACACCTGGTTCCCTGCAGGCCTGTGCATGCACAGCCCAGCCCCAGCCCTGTCCTGAGGACAGTCACTGCTACCCACATCCCTTCTGTCCTCTCAGCAGAGTTAAGCTTCGCGGGACCCACAGAGTCCTTCAGTTTGGGTTTCTCAGCATTCTCCC